AAATGCGTTAATCATATATATATAGTTGTATATATACATATTTATATAAGTAAACAAAGTAGTGCGTGTTAGAATTTAACTTTTTTTCTATTCATATATTAAACACATCCTTAGATCATTTGTACACATCCCCTGTATAAAAAGATGAGTCCAACTATTTCAGGAGACCCACACGTACCTCACATAGTGATGGTAGATGGGACTCCACTGTTTGTGAGGGTGAGGTGGAAGTCCACAACTTGTGATGGTCGAGATTTTGGGATGGTAAGTAAAGGTTGGTCGACAGTTTATAGGGGATGGATCGACACTTGGTGATGGTATGGGGGAGGGGGTCGAAACTTGTGATGGTATCATAGGAAGGGGTCTGGTCGATATTTTGCGATGGTATAGTTGGAGGAGGGGGGGGGGGTTCGCACTTCTGATGGTGTAATGGGAATAAGGTCGACAGTTTTTGCTTCTATAGTGGGCGAGTTAACAGCTTGTGAGCATGTAGAGTGAACGAACAAGTTGGACCAATCACAGACGACTAATAAAAGGGATATCCAGGCTAACGACTGGCTGATCCTGTACCACGTGATGAATCTCTTCGGCTATCACAGCCGGACTTCCTTCCTCTGGAAGCAATCGAGAAAATTTAAGAATGTTCTTAAAATTTTAACAGTCAACACATAAACACACTTAAAAAGTGACTTAAGATTGCTATAATGCTGTGTATTTAGCTGTGTAGTAACTGTGGTGTTCATTATAGAGTATAGAGTATCCCTTGATGTCAATGATCATCTTTATTAGTCAGTCATGACTTACCCCTTGATGTCAGTCATGACTTACCCCTTGATGTCAGTCATGACTTAACCCTTGATGTCAGTCATGACTTAACCCTTGATGTCAGTCATGACTTACCCCTTGATGTCAGTCATGACTTAACCCTTGATGTCAGTCATGACTTAACCCTTGATGTCAGTCATGACTTAACCCTTGATGTCAGTCATGACTTACCCCTTGATGTCAGTCATGACTTACCCCTTGATGTCAGTCATGACTTACCCCTTGATGTCAGTCATGACTTACCCCTTGATGTCAGTCAGGACTTACCCCTAGATGTCAGTGACAGTTACCTTTAGATGTCAGTCATGACTTACCCCTTGTTGAAAACTTGTCGATGACGTCCTTCACCGTTTTCATAACAATCAGATTCTTGATGTCTGCATTCTTTAGTTGTCTATTCACGTGAGGCTAAGAGTATTTTTAGAAACAAAATTTAATTAAAATAGTCACTAAGGCAGATGTCAATTTCATGTCTTTTTCTGTGATGTCAGTTAACTGTAAACATGGCCAATACAATACCTAGCCGGGGTGTCTATTTCCTTTATTTACTCAGGTACCTATTTAAACTGTGTGGGCTCAGATAAATTCTATTTGCTGGATCCGAACTCGAGACTTTACGGTTATCTAGCACGAACCCAACCCAAAAACATTTATGTTCAAAGCATAACGTTAGAGTATGAAATACCAGAGAGTTGTTTATATTATTATTCATAGACGTCTATAAAATCTAGAACTGTAAGATTGAATGGTGTAGGATAGATTACCTCGAGAGCTGAAATTTACACACGAGAGTACAATGTCATGGTGACCTTTAGTCATCTTCACGCTCAACTAACGGGTGACGTCATGTGCCCCACACCTCCACGTGCCACTAACGAGTAACGTCACGTGCCACTAACGGGTGACGTCATGTGCCACATATGAGTGACGTCATGTGCCACTGACGAGTGACGTCATGTGCCACTGTCTGACCTCATGTGCCACACACCTCCACGTACCACTAACGAGTGACTTTATGTGCCACTAACGAGTGACGTCATGTGCCACATATGAGTGACGTCATGTGCCACTAATGGGTGACGTCATGTACCACTAATGAGTGACGTCATGTGCCACTAATGAGTGACGTCATGTACCACTAACGGGTGACGTCATGTGCCACTAATGAGTGAAGTCATGTGCCACTAATGAGTGACGTCATGTGCCACTGATGAGTGACATCCATGTACCACTAATGAGTGACGTCACGTGTCCCTAATGTCTGACCTCATGTGCCCCACACCTCCACGTGCCACTAACGAGTGACGTGACCCCTGCACGTGCCATGAGTGAGCAAACAACCCTACCCGTCCATTCGCCAGCACCAGCTTGATCTCGTGTTTGTTGCAGTCCAACATCAGGGCCTTGACCGACTGGACAGCCGTGAAGTCCATGGAAGACAGGTGCTCCATGTCCAGCACGATGTAGCGAATCTTGTCCTCTACAGAGAGAAATGGTTCTAGTATTTGATTGGTGGATAAACACGACTAAACAGATCTAGTATTTGACTGGTAAATAAATATGGCTGAACAGTTAAGGAAAAAAATGATTTGACCATGTTGGCTATATATATATATATATATATATATATATATATATATATATATATATATATATATATATATATATATATATATATATATATATATATATATATATATATATATATATATATATATATATATATATATATATATATATATATATATATATATATATATATATATATATATATATATATATATATATATATATATATATATATATATATATATATAAATTATTGGTATCCTGGAAAATTTAAGATATTTTCTAACCATGAGGGAACATACTTTTTTAGACCCTATGTGAACTACACTGTTCGTATATCTGGTTAACACATGTACTCACCTGTCAATGCCCTGTCCAGTGCCTGAATCTCTAGGTATTCAGCAGCAGGAAAGTTGAGCCCGTGGAGTGGGGTGACCATCAAGAACCCTTTAGTAGCCAGGTACTGTGGGATGAAAGATCGGCTACACTCAGTAAAGATCATCAATAGAATATAACATGTTCACACTTCAGTAAAGATCGTCATTGTAATGTAATATAACATGTTCACACTTCAGTGAACATGGTCAATGTAATGTAATATAACATGACCACCATTCCGTAAAGATCGTCAATGTAATGTACTAAAATAATATCTTCAATGAGTTAGAGCAAATGAGACGTACCTTGACTTTAGGACGAGCTGTCGGGTATAGCAACATCAGGACGGAAACTCCAACTCCGATTAGAATCCCATACTAAATACAAAACAAAACTCCGATTAGAATCCCATACTAAATACAAAACAAATTTCGTTACTCTAGTCCAGGGGTCTCCAAACTTTTCAGTCCGAGGGCCGCATTAACTATCCAATTTCAGTTCGGGGGCCAGTTTCTTCCAGGCATGTCTTTGAATTTTCTGGGCAAAGTTCCTCAGCCATCACCAACAAACTGTTTTTCCGTGGACAAAAAGATCTCCGCGGGCCGGATGAGAGGACATCGCGGCCCGCATCCGGCCCGCGGGCCGTAGTTTGGAGACCCCTGCTCTAGCCGGCCAGATATGTTTTATTAAGTCGTGTAATTTAAAGTTAATTACAAGCCACGTATGTTTGCTAAATAACCCTGAGAAATTTACACTCATCCAATGAAATAAAGTTATTATCTCCCTAACTCTGATCAACTCTGACCAACTCTACTCACCTCTATACCAACGATGAGCGAACAGATGAAAGTAATGAAGAAAGGAAAGAGGTCAAGTTCTGGGATAAAAATAAATGGAATTAATATAGCAAATGTTTGTTGGTGTGTTTGTTGGTGTGTTTGTTGGTTTGTTTGTTGGTTTGTTTGTTTGTTAGTGTGTTTGTTGGTATGTTTGTTAATGTGTTTGTTGGTGTATTTGTTGGTGTGTTTGTTGGTGTGTTTGTTGGTTTGTTTGTTGGTTTGTTTGTTAGTGTGTTTGTTGGTATGTTTGTTAATGTGTTTGTTGGTGTATTTGTTGGTGTGTTTGTTGGTGTGTTTGTTGGTGTGTTTGTTGGTGTGTTTGTTTGTCTGTCACGTCCCTATGTTGGTCTGTCACGTGGTCTGTCACGTCCCCATGCTGGTCTGTCACGTGGTCTGTCACGTCGCTATACTGGTCTGTCACGACTCACTGTTGGCCCGCCACAGTTGAATGACCACATGAAACTCCACCATCTGCAGCACGGCTGCGATGATAACGGCTGCGAGAGCTGACTTTGGGATGTAGTAAAACCACGGGGTCAGCACACACAGGGCCAGGATCACCAGCCCGCCAGTCCATATCCCGCCCATGGGTGTCTTCACACCACTCTGGGAGTTGACGGCAGTTCTGTTTCATTGAACAAAATATCTTCATGTTACTCATTCAATTATTAAAAAACTATTGAACTTAAGTTATATGGAAAAAAAATTAACATCAAAATTGAAAGGGAAGTAAGTATGCTGGATTACTTAAGAAATAAAATAAATAGAGTTGCGTACCTTGAAAAGCTCCCAGTTATCGGGTAAGATGAACAGAACGAGCTAAGAATGTTGGACGCTCCAACAGCAATCAACTCTTGTGTAGGGTCCAGTTTGTAGTTGTTTGCTCGGGCTGGTAACATGAGAATCAGTACATTAGTGCGGTATTGATTGGGTTTTTGCTCGGGCTCATTACCTGAGAAGCACCGTATTAGTGCGGTATTTATTGAGTGCTCTCGTTTACAATAGAGGTGTTTAATTGATAAAATAAATGTGTTGACACTTACCAAAAGCTTTTCCAATTGCCATCGTCTCAACAATAGCGAGAAGTGGCACGATGCCAAGACCAGCTCCAAGATGCTGAAATTATATGTACACATACAGACACATAGACAGGGGCACACATAAACATACAATTATAAACAAAATCCTTATAAAACTTGGGAATAAGTATCCACTTTTTACACTAAACAGTTTTTCAATGTAGTTTCTGCTTTTCCCAACTCATACTAATTATATCTAGACAGTCATGGTGATGTTCCCTACTTACACTTAACAGTTCCCCACTTACACTAAACAGTTCCCTACTTACACTAAACAATTCCCCACTGGATATGGCGATGTTTCCAACATACACTAAACAGTTCCCTACTTACACTGAACAGTTCCCTACTTACGCTAAACAGTTCCCTACTTACACTAAACAGTTCCCTACTTACACTGAACAGTTCCCTACTTACACTAACTAAACAGTTCCCTACTTACACTAAACAGTTCCCTACTTACACTAAACAGTTCCCTACTTACACTAAACAGTTCCCTACTTACACTAAACAGTTCCACACTAGAAATGGTGATGTTCCCTACTTACACTAAACAGTTCCCTACTTACACTAACTAAACAGTTCCCTACTTACACTAAACAGTACCCTACTTACGCTAAACAGTTCCCCACTTACACTAAACAGTTCCCCACTAGACATGGTGATGTTCCCCTTGTTGATTTCAAACTTTGGCGGCTCAAATGGTGGCATGCCGGCCTTGATTTTACCCGTTACGCTGATGACGTTTTTGATGTTGTAAGTTTCCAAGATGGCGACCACACCAGCAGCCGATACCACCACGATGACGTTAGCGGCTGAAATTGTACCACGTGACTTATTCAAACACCCAACATTAAAAACTAGTTCTACATAATTAATTTACGTTACTACTAGGAAAATTGTGCATTTTATTCTGTGTTTGGAATATATTATTTGGTAGAGAAGGTTTTTATTTTTTAAATGAATAAATGAATACATGATCACTATTTAAATTTAATTTCCTTAGAATCGTAAAAAAAATAGAGACTAGAATCATAAACATAGAACCTGAACGAATGCTACAGATATCTTAAATAAAGACCCTAAAGATCCTACATATTCGTATAATCCAATGCTACAGATCTCTTAAATAAAGGTCATAAAGGTCCTTCATATCCCAATAAACCAATGCTCTAGATCTTTTAACTAAAGGTCCAACATGTTCCAATAATCCAATGCTACAGATCTTTTAACTAAAGGTCCTACATGTTCCAATAATCCAATGCTACAGATATTTTAATTAAAGGTCCTACATGTTCCTATAATCCAATGCTACAGATCTTATAACTAAAGGTCTTAAAGGTCCAACATGTTCCAATAATCCAATGCTACAGATCTTTTAATTAAAGGTCCTACATGTTCCTATAATCCAGTGCTACAGATCTTATAACTAAAGGTCTTAAAGGTCCAACATGTTCCAATAATCCAATGCTACAGATCTTTTAATTAAAGGTCCTACATGTTCCTATACTCCAATGCTACAGATCTTTTAATTAAAGGTCCTACATGTTCCAATAATCCAATGCTACAGATCTTTTAATTAAAGACCCTACATGTTCCTATAAACCAATGCTACAGATCTTATAACTAAAGGTCCTAAAGGTCCTACATGTGCCTATGAGCCACAATGTTTTCCTCAGGATGCGTTTTGACAATGGCACCGGATGTGACGTATCTGCGTCCTTCCACTTGATCTCTCGCAGCTTCTTTAACAAGATGACCAGTACCAGACTGGACAGGCCCATGGTCATATCCCAGATTCTGGGTAGATAATGGAAGCTCAGTGTTACCTCGTGTCTATTTAGACATCCACGTTATCAACTCAACCTAGAAACTTTGACACTCAGTTACACTTTATCAGTTTGTTCAATCAATTTGAATTGACAAAAATGTGTTTAAGTTCGAAGTGTAATGATCTCGTATAGTTATCAACTCAAACTAGAGACTTTGACACTCAATTATACTTTATCAGTTTGTTCAATTTAAAATGACCACACAAAAAATTAAGTTCAAAGTGTAATGATCGAATAGAAGCAGGAGTTAGTTAATGGTGTCATGCTTTGCCTGATTCGTTTATGTGTTGTGACCAATGTTACCTTACTTTGTTTCCGGTAATTTCCGGCAAGTCTCGTGAACCATCGGGATAAAGTCGTTGGGGATGTTCTTCAAACCGAGCAGAGACTGGGGATGACACGATTGGAAGGCGGATGTTTACATCGTGGGTATAGACAGGACAGTACATGGTTGTGTGTAAGGGAGGTAATGGCAGTATGTTAGGGAGGTAATAGTACATGGCAGTATGTAAGGGAGGTAATAGTGCATGGCAGTATGTAAGGGAGGTAATAGTGCATGGCAGTATATAAGGGAGGTAACATTATAAGGCATTATGTAAGGGAGGTAATAGTGCATGGCAGTATGTAAGGGAGATAACAGTAGATGGCAGTATGTAAGGAAGATAACATTACATTGCATTATGTAAGGGAGATAGATATTGACAGTTACTTTGTGATAGTTACACTTTAGAGCACGGGAAGCTACTCACTTTGATTTGTCCAATGGCAATTGTGATGGCGGCGGCGGAAGTGAAGGCATTAATGACCGGGTACGATATGAAGTTAACGAGAATACCTGCGGGGACATAATACATTCAGCACTCAACAGAATGATACAAGTTGGTCGTTTGTTTTAAGTAGCATTTCTCGCAGTGTAGGTTTAGATGAAAACAAAAATTAGAAGGGCTTTTTCATTACGTTTTTCCCCGTGTGTTGAATACACAAAATTAGATTTAAAAACAGCGAGAGCAAGACATCACCAGCCCTAGCTGTGTAGAAAAGTTTGAAATTTAAAAAAAATCTGAGCCACCAACCTAGTTTTAAGATGCCCATGACGAGCTGTATGACGCCGGTCAAGAAGGTGAGTACTATCGTCATGGTCGGATCCTTCTCCCCGTTGGGTAACACGGGGGACACAGCCGTGCCAAAAGTCGCGGTCAGCAGGGACAAGATGGCCGTTGGTCCTAGAGTGATGTCTTTGGACGTTCCCAGAAGGCAGTAGACAAAACATCCGACAAATGCCGAGTAGAGGCCGTACTGGGGACAAGGCAAGTATGGGGTGTGTGTGGGGGGGGGGTGGAATATGGTTAGAAATTCAGCCATAATATCAATGTTTCAGTTTATCTAGATACTCTTTGGTCCTTGATGGTTCATGGTGCAGGTGAAGTAGAGTTAACCTGTTTCAGAGACCTCGGCATATGAAGGAAACGTGTGATCAGCACTATACCCAGTCGTCTTTACTAGGACTAATGTAAGTCAGGTACTCATCAGAGCTGGGTGGACTCAGGAACGTTTTACATATTAGATTTAAAGTAACAAATTTAATTTATACAGCAAAATTACAGGTCAACACTACAGTATTAAAACAAAAACAGATTGGTGAATAATTGCATGTTTAATTTAGTTCCGTCGAGAATAAAATATTACTACATTGAACAATCAATTGTTCTGAAGTGTGGAATTGTTTGTTTATTTTTGGATCGTGTAATTTGGTGCAATCTTCTGATGTAGACTACTAAAAACATTCTAATATATCTAAAATATTATCCGATTTTAAACTATGTGTTGTGTTCCTAATAAAAAAAGAATTCTGTACTCAAATTTCGAATATCTATTTGTAAAGATGATGTGTTTTATGTCATCAAAAGATCTGTTGGTTGTTTAGTTTTTAATTGAATAAATTCGATGGTGATTTGAGGTGTCTTCAGTACATGAAAGGTACATGTCGTCACGTACGTTTAGATTTGTGAAATCAATATCTACGTTACCTGTGCAGGTAGATCAGCCACCTGAGCATATGCAAGACCTTGAGGGATTACCGTTAATCCCACTGTTATCCCAGCGATGAAATCAGCCTGGAACGTGTCGCACCTACAGCGAGGAATTAGAACATGTAGTCAACATCTAGTCCAGATATTCATGGAGAGAGTAACACAACTTTTTGTCGTCAAAAAATGTTGGCATGCAAAAAAAAAAAACCACTGATATTTTTTAAAATCAGAATACAATTATTTTACCTGTAATTGTAAAGTAAAAGTGTTACATGTTTTACTAAAAAAAGCACAGTAACTTCAGTTTCGATAGATATTTTTAAAACGAATAAATTTTTTTTTCGCATGAATGCGTTTAACAACAATGATGTACCCACTATATTTAGGACGAAAATTAAATTGGTTTCTGCATTTTATATATGGCTTCAAAGTTTTTTCCTATTTCAATTTTTTATTATAACTCTAGATATTGCTAAATAAACACATGGACAAACCGCTAGACAAACAAACAAACGTCTTTATAACTGTTAATAGCTACATCTGAAACTAGTCTTTATTTTAAAATATAATTAAAATCTTAATGAATTTAATTACCTGTACTTAGGGAGCCACTTGATGATTGGAAACTTGGCCAAAAAGTTTTGTAGCGTGAAGGTCTTGCGGCAAAAAGTTTTCACCTGTTTCTTGATAGCGTCTCTATTGCCAATGTCAAGCTCGAACTCTGAAGAGGCCAGGTAGCTATCCGTCCCATCCACGATCTCCGTGTAGCCGTTGGCTATAGACTGGGGTAAACAAACAGATTTGGCTCGCATTAAAACACATCAAAACATATGAGAGTACATATTTAATAAACGGCCATGCGATGTAGGAGGGAAATTAATGGAGTAGGAATGTTTCTTTGACCTTGGTATGTACATATAAGGTGAGTACAGTATTGTAGATACTAGAGCTTGATGGACTCATGGACTACCCACGGACCCAAGCCAGGGATCCGAACTCGAGACATTCGGGTTAGCAGACATACGCGCTAACATCCGACCACGACGTCCCATAAGTTATATGTTGTTTTATTGACCAATAAAGATAGCGCATAAAAAAATAACTTCGCGACAAAAAGTGATATTTACTTTCCAAAACGTTAAACAAAATTATTTATCTAATCTTTTTTTTTCAAAACGGTGTTAAATGTTTAATTAGGAACATAATTGTTTTTGCTATTTATCATTGGGTAAATATTTTGTTCCCTGGCAAATGAAGTGTGTTTTAATCATGGCTCTACTAGGTAGTGCAATACAGTTTAAAAAAAAAAAGTAATTCAAAAACCACACAATCATTAACTTTGTATAATGACGTACATTTTATTTAAGGTGTTTAAAATACGTTGATATATCCCTCCCCTTTGAGATTATTCTGGGTCTATACCATCATCATTGAGAATGTATAATTATAAACTTATTTTCCTTTTTAATTTAGTTACAGTTAAAACTATTTTGTGCTACAAATGCTACATGGTAAGTAGACCGTAACTAACCAAACACAACGCGTAGCATTTGATGCGTGTAAAAAACATTTCTTTCCATGTTTATGGAGGCTGGTAGGTTAAAGTATGTTTCATGTAGACTGGATATTTCTGGTCTAAAGCCAGATGTTGACAGCCCGAGAAAAATTCATGAGAGTAGTGTAGATTTGGTAAGCCAGGCAAGCAATGTACACGTTATTTGCTTTCTTAACGGCTGAAGGGGTCGTGTACAAGGGAACAGGAGCCGTCTCACAAGGGCCGTAGGGGGCGTGTGAACAAGGGCCGTCACCACAAGAGCCGTGTCAACAAGAGCCGAGTTTTCCAGAGCCGGAGAGGCCGGAGCCGTGTGAAGAGATAACACATGAGTGGCCAGTGCACAGAGGACAGGAAAGGACATCTCCACGGATAGACGACACAGGTCACGTGACCGGCCATACGCTTGTTACGTGCTCAGTTCTGTTCAAATACTGTTGTACTACAACTAGCGATCGGGGTTCTCTCATACTAACAGAGGCGTAGCAACCTAATACGGCGCCTGGGGCGGACTATCAACATTTTTCGCCCTTCCCCTTAAAATTTCTATATTTTCCTATCTGTGTTAAAGCACCCCCCTCCTCCTGTAGGAATAGGTTGTGACGCTTCTTACCAGTTACTACCCCGAACCATTTTCTATTTACCTCCCTCAAAATTGGTATAGAAAAAAGTTAATTCAATGTGTAAAACCTTGTAATAGTTTATTTGCGTAACTTTGATTGTGTACATTTCGTTATTTCACCGAGCTTTAAATTAAATTTTCTACCCGTTTTGGCATCACCTTGGAGTCGGCGCCCGGGGCGGCCGCCCCATCCGCCCTCACCTAGCTACGCCACTACATACTACTGACGATACATTTATATATATACATATATATATATATATATATATATATATATATATATATATATATATATATATATATATATAGTATATATATATATATATATATATATATATATATATATATATATATATATTAGTTGTAGTTTGAGCCGTATACAATGTATGGAACATTGTAAACGGTATGAGGTATAAGAACGAAATCTATAATCTAGACCTAGATCTAGTATAAAACTAACAGCTACTAAATCAAACCTAAAATATAACAGCAGAATAGCTTATATCAGCTTCTCTCAAATTCATAACATGCCTGAATCAGTATAAAAAAGTATTAGTCCTATATTTTTAAGCCAATATAACTTAAACAGAAACCCTAACTATAGCTCTAATCCAACGACATTGCGTGTACAAATTACGACACTGAACAAACTTGAATTTCTAGTCAACATTCAATATTGACCTTTGTTTTGTAAGTAAACATTTCGTCAAAGTTCAGTCGATGTCTAAAGTAAACAAAGAGGGTTACCATTACTTTCTTAACACCCCGTTCATTGACGGTACCACACGGTAGAGAATCGTGTGTTCGGGAATATTTTAATGGAGATTTTTAAGTTTCTTTTCTTTCTAAAGACAAGGTCCAAAAAGTTTAAGTTTCAAGAAACTGTTTGATTTTTTACAAGCTTTTATTTAACTCACTTCCTCTGTCTGTCGACAGTCTGTCGTCAGTCTAGACGGAAACGCAGGAGTGAAAATTCGGACAGTTCTACTTCACCGATACGATTCACATTTGACACGTGGGTCAAGACATGAAGACAATGCAATCTGAAACTAAATTTGACTTAATTGGATGCCTAATTGATTTTTTATGAATTAATTAAAATTTGGACCGAATTAGTAGGCATGTCTAGCCAACCACACCACACGCGTCATCACCTTCAATAGCTGCGCCATCACGTAATGGCTGCGTTCAAAAACCATTGCGCGCCTACTGAACGTGATATTCAGTAGGCGCGCAATGGTTTTTAGTCATGTAACTCTATTGTAGATAAAACATGTAAAGTACTGAAAAAAAATTCATAAAAAACGTTTTAATAACAAGCTTTTATGTAATGATGCACTAAAAAGTAGAAAATAAATTATAGACTACTATTTAAATAACTATAAAGAAAAGCGTGGGTGTCTTCCTTAACATTAGTAAAGGTATCCAATAGATACTAAAGTGACCCACGCTTTTCTTTATAGTTATTTAAATAGTAGTCTATAATTTATTTTCTACTTTTTAGTGCATCATTACATAAAAGCTTGTTATTAAAACGTTTTTTATGAATTTTTTTTAAACATCTTTTTATGATACTGATCAGGGTCACGATTAGGTATATTGATTTTTAATTCGAATTCACCAAAGCGTTTTAATAGTTCAAACCAAGTACAAAAATTATCTTTAAAAATAACTTTGAAAAAACCTAATTAGTTTGGACGTCAAACTTTCTGATTCCTTCCCCCCCCCCCCCCTCTCGTCCCATCGAGTCACAAAGTTAGACTTTCATACCTAGACCACTACGAATGTCGTGTGTTGAATACGTTTATAGATAGAATACACAGGTATATAAACTTTATATCGACTTTAGTCATGCAAGAATTTAAAAAAAAAAAAGATTAAGTGTCTTAGCCTTGAAAGAGAAGTGAACTATAATTAAAGTTGTCTAATTTTCTAATTCAATTAACCCTAAGTCCATCTATCTACTTGCCGTTCTTTGCACATAGGGTTGGGTAAAGATATATTTTTCTAGGTCTTTAGTAAGCGTTATCTGTCCGCATTTTGTTAGCGTTATATGTAGGAATTTAGTTAGCGTTATCTGTCCGGCATTTAGTTAGAGTTATCTGTCCGGCATTTAGCTAGAGTTATCTAACCGGCATTTAGCTAGCGTTATCTGTCCGGCATTTAGCTAGAGTTATCTGTCCGGCATTTAGCTAGAGTTATCTAACCGGCATTTAGCTAGCGTTATCTGTCCGGCATTTAGCTAGAGTTATCTAACCGGCAGATAGCTAGCGTTATCTGTCTGGCATTTAGCTAGAGTTATCTAACCGGCATTTAGCTAGCGTTATCTGTCCGGCATTTAGCTAGAGTTATCTAACCGGCAGTTAGCTAGCGTTATCTGTCTGGCATTTAGCTAGAGTTATCTAACCGGCAGATAGCTAGCGTTATCTGTCCGGCATTTAGCTAGAGTTATCTAACCGGCAGTTAGCGTGATCTGGGCCGGTCAGTCGAGTCACGTGATCCACCTGAAACCGGTGTCAGAATGTTCAAGTCAGTTGTGTAATAAATTAATCCAGTTGCAGATTTGCTTCAATAGTGCGAGGAGATGCCGTCAGGTTATCTTGACCTCTGCACAATACAAATCCAAATGTGGAGTATCCTACATTTTTTGGAACGTTATATTTAGATACTTTGTTCTATGCCAGATAAAAAAAAACGGCAATGTTGCAATGGAATCGCTTTACAAAACGTGCCCAACGTATCAGGTTCTAGTTAACATCCTGCAGATCTGTTGAATTGGATCATGACATCATGGGAACAGACAGGTCAGTTGTAGGTCAATGTCAATAGGTCAGCTTGACCTAAACCGTTATGCACGGAATGTCACTTCCCCAGAAAAAGACTTCGAAATGCATTTTTTTTTAAATTTCTATGGCCTTTGGGATATTTTAAAACAAAATTTCTATGGACTTTAGGATATTTTTGCTGAACATTTTTATATTAAACACTTGTTGAAATGTAATTGCTGTATAATCATGGTGTATGTCAACGAATTGTTTTCACATCATGCCTAGATAAATTTACAACATGGTGCATGAATCTAGTAAAACAAGAAAACTGGAAAGTAAGAGGAAGGGATCTTTTTATGGTCTAAGTCGTTGCGATAAAATCTATTTATTGAATCGATTGTAAAAATAGTTATCGTTTGTAAAATAAAATATCTAATTATAATAGTTGAGGAAACGACACTTCGATAATTCTGAACTGGTCTACAATTTTTTTAAAACAAGATGTTACTGGCGATACTAATTTGCCTTTTCAGAAAACTACGGTAAAATAATGAAAAGAACGTTGCGTGCGATAAAGTTTAAAGAACGAAAAAATAAAAATATAATGATTTTTCGTGGAATATTTTAGACATACAAATATTTTACTGCATATGGAAATACAGCGTGACAATGATCTTTTTGCAACCACCTTTTAGTACGCACTTTTTGTACGCACTTTTTTGTACGCACTTTTTAGTACGCACTTTTTAGTACGCACTTTTTAGTATGCACTTTTTAGTACGCACTTTTTAGTACGCACTTTTTAGTACACACTTTTTAGTACGCACTTTTTAGTACGCA